GGGGGGGGGGGGAGGGCACCACGCCCATCTCACCTCATGGAAGGGCAGCTGGCCCTTCAGCTTCAACCCCAGCATGACCATGCGGGCCACCCAGAAGAAGAGGATGTCGTGGCCGGTCTCCAGGAGCGTCCCGGGGTAGAAAACCTGCAGGTCTTCGCTCTGCCCGGATAGACAGATGGTGACAGGAGACAACTGGATGCCTGGGTCCCGTTCCCTAGCACCCCAATCACCAGTGCCAGGGTAGAGAGCCCTGGGCCCACCCATCCCAGTATCCCACTGCTGCCACCACAACTCAGTCCCTCTAAGCCCACCGATCCTGGTATCCCACTACTGCCACCACAACTCAGTCCCCCTAAACCCACCCATCTGGATATCCCACTGCTGACACCAGCTGCCTAGCATCTTCCCCCTCCCGCCAAGGTTGGGAGCCCTTTGCTGCTGTCCCGGACCCCTGGCTCCCCTTCCCCATCTCAGACTCACGGGGTTGGGCCAGCCGAAGATGGAGAACGGGAAGAGGCCGGAGGAGAACCAGGTATCCAGGACATCGTCATCTGGGAACGAGACCGAGAGAGAGGGACAGATGTTAGTATAGCAGTCGGCGGTGCATGCCGGGCAATGCCACGGGGTACTGGCAGGGGCGCTGTTCTCAACGCGGGTGCCCTTTGCTCCCGACCCACAAGCTCCCAGCCATACCTTGCCGCAGCGAGATCTTGTCCGGGGTCACCCCAAAGGCCTTGGCTGCTTTGTCCCTGGCCTCCTCTTCGCTCCGCCCGCTCACCCAGTATCTGCCGTCCATGTCCTGGGAGGAGGGTTAACAGGTATCAGACACATGGGCCCATCGACCCCGGCATCCTGCCTCCTTTCTTGGCTCCGACCCACAGGCACAACTATCTTGGTGTCCCGCCCCTTAGCAGTGGTGGCAGAAGTGGGATGCCTGGCTAGGAGAGGGTGGAAGGAATTGTGACAGAAGTGGGCTAGCTGGGTAGCTCAGCACAGGGGAGTTGAGTTGTGTGACTTGCTGTGGGGACAGTTCCTAGAGTCATGGAAGGGGCTGTGGAATGTGGCCTGAATATGGGGCTGGGGTGGGTCACAGAGTTGTTGGCAGGCCTTTGGGGAGGGCTGGGCTGGAAGAGAAGAAGGGGCCCCAGGGCTGCAGTGAATTGCAAGGTGCCTCGGACACTCTATCTGGCTGTCTCCCTTGTTACAAAATCCTGTTGCGGTGAGTTCCACAGATTAACATGCTCAAACCTGAATTTCCTGACGTCAGTTTGTTTCTTCCTGGTGTCCCATGATTTTGGGGTGGGCCTGTCGCAGGCTCCTCCCCCCCCTCCCCCGCCAGCTCTTCCCCAGGCTCTCTGCCCTCACTCACCTCCCCTGGGGGCACTGAGGGGTCGTCGACCGTGACACAGAAAAGACTGCGAACACCGCAATGCCAGGGCGCATGCACAATCCGGC